GTAGGTAAATCCATTATACTGGATGCAACCTAGAACTATAGAAAGCCTTCATGTTCAGTGTAGTCAAGAGGTGTCTGAGCCCATTTTACCTTCACATTTTTACCTCTAACAGATATGCTGACAAAAGAACCTCCTTGGTGTGATGGCTCCAACTGCTATGAATGCGCTGCCAAATTCGGAGTCACAACAAGAAAGCATCACTGGTAATATGAACCACCTTTCTGTGCTTACAAGGAAATGGATTCCTCCCCAAGTGTAGCTATGCATATGCCTTCCAGCAGTTTAAGAAACCTCCATGTAAACATAGGTGTTTAACCACTAATCCAGCTGAAACATCCATCCTGTCTAAGATCAGAAACTTGTGGTCTGACTGAAATCATATCTAAACAGTTTGTGCATTTAATATTCTGGTTGTGAATGAGAAATCATGCCCAAGTTCCAGTAGTGAAACAGGATTTAAATACCCAGTTGTCATGGAAAGAGAGCGATGCACTTCACTCACAACAGAGGAGCAACAATATATTTTGTTGATATAAAACAGTGAGTTAACAGAAGTTAAATGGTAAAAGTGGCAGTGGTTTATCAGGACTTGATGGCAAAYGTGCACTTGATTATTTCCAGTATAGAGGATGGGGTCTGGGAGAGCCTCCTGTGGAGGGACAAGTTTCAAAGAGGACAGCCACCCGGGCTGTGGCTTACACAGGAAAGGCAGGAGGGAGCATACTACTATACTACCACTACTCCAGAGTGGTGGGATGACCTGCTCCAAAACAGGTGGCACGTTTGGGCAGCTGTTGGCAGCTCAGGTTTGGGATGCTGTTTGTAGTGTGGAAATGGCTGAAGATGAACMTGAGCTGCTCTTGTGTAGATAGGAGTTGCCTTTTTTAACTGGTCTGAACTTGTACAGAACATGCTGGGTTGGAGGGGTGTTAAAATTTTTCTTAGCTCAGTGTGCCAGAGAAACTACCYGTGCATTAGTTGAAGTAGTACCAAGTGACTCACTAGTACAGACCCAGCATGTGCTGTTGGCATTAGCAAACTATTCCATGACAAATATCAGAAGATACAAGACAAACATAGCATTTCAATTGCTAGTGTATATTTAATGATGCTATCATTGACAAAGAATGTCAAACAGTAATATCCTGGTGTTCACTAGSAGGGAATTCACTTTTCTCCCACCCCTTTTCTATCAACAGCCGACACTGTGGACGCCTGCTCTGCCATAAGTGCTCAACAAAGGAGATTCCTATCATAAAATTTGATCTGAACAAGCCAGTTCGAGTTTGCAACATCTGCTTTGATGTCCTGACTCTGGGAGGAGTCTCCTAGTATGCTGTGGAAGTAAAGGGATTCCCAGTCAGTGCTCCTGACAGCAGCTCTGCTTACAAGCCCTCTGGATAGGGAAGAGGAGGCCTATACATGTCTTCTGCAATAGACTGAACTAATTAAGGACTCTGTTATGATATACTCTGGTATAAATGATTTTGTATGACTGTAAATGTATTGGGCTGCGATAGACTTCACTAGGAATCAGAGTGGATTGTTGAAACCAAGTGACAAAAGAATTTAGACCCTCTTCTAGTTGCAGTGGCGTATGGAAGCTGAAATTTATACTGATTGAATCGGCATAAAACAGGTCTGTCCTCGACATGGTGCTTTGCACTGAGCAACTCTATTAAGTCCTGTGGCTTCCAGGCTGCTTAGTAGAGAAGGCATTAAGTTTCAGGGTAACCAGGTATCTTTCTTTGCTTTGTCTTAAAGATAAATGTTCCCCTTCTCTAGAGAAGACTTCTTGTGAAGCTAAACTGAGCTGTTGCAACCACTGTTCAAGAAACTCTTCAGACCTGGGGGTAGTTCTAAGTATAGCTCAAGAATTGTGGCCTTACAACAGAAAGCTTTACAACATCTGATGCGAAGCAGTCAGAATTGCAGATCCACWTATTGATACCTCCTCAGCAAACGACTCATTAGCTTTAGCATGTTCAAGAGAAGTGCAAGATGGTTTTAGGAAATGCTCTTGCTCATACCTGCTGGAACTKTCAGTCTTCATTGCACTTTCATATTTACATTGCTGGTCCTTCYAGTTGTATAAATGACCATGAGTTTGCTGAAAGGCCTGAGCATGTGCTAAAGGAAAAACACTAAAACTGGTGAAAGCTAACTCACAGTACAGCAATAAATGCTGAAGTGCATTAGGAATCCCAGGAGGGAGAGTAGCACTTTCCTTGGGTTTAAGGGGTCTGRTAACTGCTGCGGAAGAGTCAGTAGCCCTACCAGTGTAGAATGCGCTGCACCTCTCGACACTTAATTTGGTTCCATTTTCAGCAGGCTTGCTGGTGATGGGGAGTGTATGTGGAGGCTTCCTATTAGGAGTAAGCTGCATTATTTTATTCTAGGCTGGTTGTGCTCTCTTAAACATGCTGAATCTGTAGAAGTGTACCACCACCTTGTCTAGGTAAACAGGAAAGTACTTGGCTGGTAGACCAGGTTGTGATTTGGTGGGCAAAGGCTTCAGTTAGAAAAAATGGGTACTTAAGCAAAACTACATGGCATGTTAAGGCTGTTTTTATTCCAAGAGATAAAGCTAGTTTAGACTCAATTCAGCATTCCTCATCTTTACTTSGTGAATTGGTGTGCATTTTTTAATGACTGTTATCTCCAGTGAACACTATGGACAGCTGGTGACACSTTGCCCTATTTGGAGCAGTGACTTGTTAGTCTTAAAGAGTAAGGTGAGATGATAAACCAAACTGCTGCTGTTATGGGAGACTTGCTCGAGATTTTTCACAAAGAGAGCACAGGAGACAGTGCAATTGCTGACATTTGCATGATTAATTTCACATCAAGTCTCACTTGATCTGCACTTTGATCTTCCAATATGCATATATTGTAACTGGAATCACCCCTGTACCACTAGGGAAGAGCAAAGGATGACAATACAAACTTGCCTCACTGTTTGATGTCTGCTGCTGTCATGTTCCAACAGAATGCCCTGGGTAACACAGCTGGTCTCTAACACAGTTACTAATGCACATGGTGCATCTCTGGCATAATATTGTAGGTGAATGAAGGAAAATAGTGGTGTCAGTTAATGCTAGCTACAGTAATTAATGGTGTCAGTTAACTACATGCAAACTACAGTTTGGGGGTTTTTGAGTCAAATAGATGATGGAAGACACCGTACTTCTGGTTGGTCCATTGCCTTCTSATATTTCAGGATGTCACTGGTTGCAAGTTTTTAGCAATGAAAGATAATGATTGAGAGAAAGTGCATTTAATGAATGAAGTCTTGACTGTAGTCCCATGATAACGTATTTTCCTTCTTGTTTTGGAGCYGCAGTGATGTGGAGGGGTAAGATTGCCCTTGGGGTGCTGCATGACAGTGTAGAGGAGGGGTTTTCCAAGGCCACAGCCTATGGGCATCAGCCTGATTGGAAAACTGTGCAGCATGTAATCACTAAAGCATTTAAACATCACTTTTTCAGTAGCTTCTCTGATGAAATGGGCAAGGGAACACAGAGCTCAGTTCTAACAGACTAGGCAAGCTTTTTAATAATGGAAAATGTGGATCTGGTGAAAATTCAGTTTGACTGAATGGCAAGTTAAAGGCTGGGTAGTTGCTCTTCTAAAAAATAGGATATTGATTATAACTGTAAACTCTGGGAARGATCTGGGAAACCATCTTTAGTGCTCCTTGTTTGATGTTTACAGCCAGTACTCTCCTAGCTTTCTTACTGAAGTCTGAAAGGAAAGTTAAGGTTATTGTTAAAGGTACAGCCTGAGGTGTTCATTAAATTTAAAGCAACTAAATTTGATYCTTTTGAAGTGCCTTTGAGATAGTTTCCTTCCAGCCAACTTTACATAGCTTTCTGCCAGAGCTAAAGGGGAAAAGCTCACAACTTGAACCAAAACCGAAGTTAGTTCTTTTCTAGTTCAGSTGAGGAGTTGACCCCACCAGACAACTTGTGGGACTCAATCCCTCACACACTCTGCCTAGTGTTGGTCTGATCTCTCAGACCACTGAGATTTTTTGGGAGTTTTGCTGGCAATGCTCCACTGCAGGGTACAAATGTGAATGAGGCACTTGGTAATGTAGTGGTGGTCAACACATTTCTRACTAAAAAACTGCTCTTCCCTTTTTGTAGCATAATACAGTTGTGACCAAACCCTCCCCMCCTCTTACCCCTACTGTCTTTTAGTGGTATCTATTAACTCGAGACTCAAGTCTGCCAAGCATTGAACAAAAGGGTAAATGGAAAATCTGCTTGTGTCCCTGGAAGTGCTCCTGTCACACAAGGCTTCAGGAACTTCAGCAGGGCTGCATGGGAAGTCGTGTGGTTCATGCTGTAGCTTTTTGTTCTGAGACTGGATTCCTTTTGACTGCAGTCATGCAGCACTCTTAGACAAGCAAATGCCGTGGTCCAGCACTCAATCCGTGGTCTGGCTGAAAATTTGTGTCTGTAAGAGGTGCAGTCACTGTTTCACACCACTGAGTGGAGTGAGAGTGTTTCTGTTGAAGGTACTAACAGAGCAGAGTAAGTTGCTGGCTAAAGCTTGACAGATGCCTTAATGACTTCCCGTGCTRGAGGTAACAGCTTGTCCAACTGCTCATGTAGTGCTTATAAACTAACATGTAACAGTATGGGAGGCYAAGGCTGGATTGTTTTGTAGATCAAATGTTAATCGGCGAGTCCTCTTTTTTTCTGTAACCAGCAGAGGTGGTCACTGCAGCAAACTTGTCTCTAGAAAAATCAAAGCTTGTATGAGTGACAGAAATAACTGAACCTTCTAATACCCTCTGTGAAATAGAAAAGGAAGTCTTAGAACAATGGCATTTATCTGCAGTGTTTGTCTGGAGTCATTGTAAAAATGTATTTTTCCAATATGCATTACTTTGTTGTGTAATGAATCTACTTGTAATAAAATGCAGAACTAGATGATGCATCGTGAGGTGAAACCTTGCTAAGGAAGTATCTGCTCCTGTAGAGACAGCTGCTGCTCTGCAAGCTATCCTTACAAACCTCGAGGAAAACCAGGGATACAGCATCCAGTCGGGCATGACAACTTTATTCTTTGTTCTGAAATKATTCCAGGTATTCATTTTTATGTTGTGGAACTGCTACAATGGTTCTTTTGGCTGTCAGGGTCTGGTGTTCTAGTTTGTACCATGTAGTCATCTTGAATGCCTTATACTAGACTTATCTATAATCAGTCTTGTGAAACAAATCCGAGCTCCCCACAGGCCAGAGCTGGTTCATGAAGTTCATCAGTTCAAGTTACTTACACTTGGTGCACTCAGTTAAGTGCTGGAGGCAGCTCAGCCCCCTGGGAGAGCACAGAGCTGCTGCAGCTTCACTTCAGGAAAAGGAAAGCTTCAGTGCAATAGCAAACCCAGCCAAGACTTCTGGGTTGAGATTGTGATGCATTAGTCTTTTATTAATAAAACTTACTAAAGTACAGATGAATGGTGAGCTTTATTAGAGCACTGTCTGTGGTGACTTGAGCCCTCTGTAACTATCACCGTTTTCTTCCCACCCTTTTCCACCATGGGAGAATCCAGCTGAGCTGCTGAATCGGAGTCCAAAAACGATTGTCTTGGAGCACTTCAGGTCAGTGAGGGTGTCTCCTTGTTTACTTTAATAGATTACTTATTCCTAGTGCAAGACAAACTCTTCCGCCCCCAGTGTTTCCAAACACTAAACTGAGGAATAAGCTGTGAACTGGTTTTCAATCAACTTTTAACTGAAACCAACACCTTCCTGCCMTTGCCTTTTTGCAGCAGTTTATTGGATTTTTGTGTAGCTCTTGCAATCAAAACCRTCCCTTCAGCACTATTTGCATAGTGATTGAGTGTTACAGCAAGATGAAACTTGCTTAGGTCAAGCTGGCCCACCTTTACTGGTTTGCCCTCACAAACTACTTATAGCATTTAACAATCTTGAATTYGCTGTAACTTTTAAATAGCTTTAAAAAGCTCTTTTAACAGTACTTGCCAATGATTTGGGAGATGGTTTCATCACTTCAACAAGAAATTACATTTAGAAACTTGGTATCTTTTTAGATGTTGCAAAGGCCATTGCAGGTTCTTCCACTGTCCCCCCAAGCTGTGGAGGCAGTGAAGTGCTGTTCTGCAGCTCTTTCCTGCACCTTTTATACAGCTTTATCTTCAGCATTGTTGTGTGAAATGAGTGGTTCACTCTACTCCCAAAGATGGCTCAAGCTCAGGACTGAGGTTCAGTTCTGCCACACATCCCACTGCCCCTGGCACAGCAGGGCWCAGCCTTGGAGAGGCTCTCTTCAGGATGTTGATGGAAAAGAAACACAACATGATTATGTAAAATACCCCAAAAGCAAAAACATCCCCTGCAAATGTTACGAGCCTGTACATGCTTAGAATGCTGAATGCCTTCATCCCTGGCAGCTGTAGCATCCTCTAAACTTCTCAGTGAGGAGTGCTACWTGTAATGTGCCCTGCTGCAAGGGAGTGAATGCTGCCTCCTGTAAACTTGCTAAATAATTAATCACTTAGATTTTGGCGCATCTCTTTAGAGGTGATGGTAGTTAAAAATAAGTTTATGAACTTTCCAGTTGCTTATAAATAGGTGGCAGCTGTCTTACAGAGAAGAATTGACCACAGCTCAATAGGCACCTGTGCCACCACTGGACCCTGATCTGGGTATCTCTCTCAAGGCTCAGCTAGACCAAAATTGATTTTAACAGCAGATTAACAGCAACTGCTTCCCTGCAGTCTGAGGTTTGTAGTGCCTGAACCCTGTGCAGGTATTCCCTTATCCCTTTGAGCCCCACCAAGAAATGGCAATAACTTGCTCTGTGTTTCTGGGAGTCACTCACATTGCTGAATTCTGCMAGCTGTGATACTGTAAGTATGGATTTTAAGGGAGCTGGGTCTTGCAAGGACACATCTAGCTCAGGTTATAGTCKGATAGGCACAGACCAGATGGGAGGAAGTCGTATACCAGAATGGCAACAGGAGGCAGATTACAGTAGGATGGTTGTGTTGCCACCCAGGCAACAAAAAAAAAGCTATTTAAAACTACTCATTCCTGATCTGAACACAGTTTCAAAGTGGTGAATCACAGACCAGGAGGGTGAGGTTACTATCATACAACAATCCTCATAGGGGGCTTCAATGTCTTGGCACAKTATCTAATGCAAACACTGAATGAGGAAATCTCTGGCCTTTGCCTTCTCCAAGAATTTGATAAAGCTTGTGTATAACTAAACAGCTCAAGTTCATAGATACCGTAGACCTTAATTGCAGAAGAAATTCAGGGTTCTCTCAGCTACCTTTAAACTCTGGAGTGAGTCAGGTGCCTGGGAAGGAGCATCAGCACTGCCCTGCAGCAAGACCTGAGGGCTGTGCACCAACTGTGGGCAGTGATGCTGCAGCAGTTCCTGTGCTCTCTGAGCTCTGCCTTAAACCACAGCACATTGTGGCACCACCGTGCATACAAGCATCCATTTCATGACTGTACAAGAAAGCAGTTTTAAAATACAATTCAGGCTGTGCATCTTACAGTTTGTTGCCAGGTGTAAAAATACCATAGGAATAAAGAAAGCTTCCCGTTAATTTTTTTAGCCACTAACCTGGCTGAAGTGTTTCCCCCTTTCCTCAACTCCATCTCCACATGTTAAAAAGCATTACAAATAACATAAGATTGTTATTGCTCCCTTTGCATGGACAGGTGGAAGGGATGGAGCTGGAGGTGCCCACCAAAGTGCAATGTTTCACTGCAGGACACTCCCTGCCCTGGAATGCAGCACCCGGAGTCAGCCCAYGAGGACACACTGCTCGGCCAGGGGATGGCAGCCATCGAACTGCTCCAGGTGAGGGTTATCCAGGTCCCCTCTGTCRCTGTGCTGGGAGGAGTCTGGCTGGCCCCAGGGTGGACCTGTGCTCCTCACACACACACAGTGACTCCCCTGCACGCCAGGGCGGTACAGCTTCCGAGGGACTCCGGCCCAGTCTCTGTTCACTCCCCCACTAGGAATGGAAAATAAAAATAAATTACAATTCAAACCTATGAAAATGCTTCCAGTCAATAGAGAATCCTTAGAAAAAAACATAGACAATCTGGGAAAACTGGAACTAACAATGCACTCACTGAGGTAGACTTTGCTCCCAGCAGCCACCATCCCACAGCTGATACCTTTTTATTGACTGTGYTTCAGAAATCTGTGGCCTGAACCTGATTTCATCACTGCTGCTATAGGCTCTACCCTTCTGGGAGTGACCAACTTCTGCACCCTATGTTTCCATTGCTAGAAAAKGAATCACAGCCTTATGTGGCACACCAAAATGCCTTTTCTGGGGGTGCCCAATGGCTCACAGGTAACCACATGTCTTCACAGAATCACAGTGGCTTGGATTGGAAGGGACCTTAAAGATCATCCAGTCTACCCCCTGCCATGGGCAGGGACACCTTCCACTACACCAGGCTGTTCTAGGCCTTCTGTGCCTTGACTGAACACAGTGATTTTAAAAACTGGGGCAAAAAAAAGTATTTCCCCAGCTAATTCATTGTGTCTCTTCGGGCCTAAGTGTCTCTCTGTGGGCCAAATCCTGCCTGTTCCTCAAGCACTGCAGTTTTTAAGCCTCTTACACAAGTCACTGCCACATGACTGAGGCCCCAAGGCTGTCCCCAAGCTCAGTCACACAGAGAAGGAGATTGCTGGGGTGCACAGTGATGCTGGCGGACTGACGTGAAGCCCAAGTATTTTGCAGTGTGGTCTGTGAAATTATTTCATCTTCGAACAAAATAATCCCTAAGCTGAGAGTTAACAACTAACAGGAAAATAGCTGTGAAACTGAAAAACACAATTTAAAGCTTGTATTCCTRATAGGTGACAGAACCTGTTTGAATCCTAGTCCTACCATGATTCCTGTCCTGTTTTGCTGAGTGAGGAAGATCACGTGCACATGTGGCAAATCCTTTGATTCCAGTGAGAGGGAAGAAGTTCAGCCTGCAGAAAAGAAGGCTCAGGGGGGACCTTCTCACTCTCTACAACTCCCTGACAGGAGTCTGGAGCCAGGCGGGGKTCGGGCCCTGCTCCCWGGGAGCAAGGGACAGGACAAAAGGAAAGAGCCTCAAGTTGTGCCAGGAGAGCTTTAAGCTGGACATYGGGGAAAATTTCTTTYTGGAAARGGTRGTCAGGCACTGGCACAKCTGTTCAGGRCAGTGGTGGAGTCCCCAACTCTCGTGGGGATTTAAAGCCATGTGGATGTGGCAKGTGGGGATACAGRTTAGTGCTGGCCTTRGCAGTGTTGGGGGAATCGCTGGACTCRGTGGTCTCAGAGAGCTCTGCCCAACCTGAACAACCCTGTGAATGCAGACAGGGACAGGGACCATGCCTGGCCTATTCCAGCCCTGGCAGCACCACTGCACACACAGCCTGTGCCAGGTCACAGACCTCACCTACAGCCTATGGAGCACCTGTAGAAGCCAGAACACCTTCCCATGCCCCTCCTGCCAGGAGAGGCAACAAAGCACTGGGCACCCAAAACCAGGGCAGAAATGCTCTGCTCCAAAAGGTACAAATTTACCTCTGTCTGGAGCACCAGAACCGGGTGCCTTTGGCAGAGCTCCATTCAGAGTTGCAGGGTGGGAACTGCTGCTTCTTCTGCTCACTTTCTGCTTGGAATTTGAGAGCTTCCTCAATGGCAGCCTCAGCCTCTCTCAGGGCTTCTGTYGGTGCCCCATTTTCATCGTAGAATCTGCCCACCAGCTTCCCTGGGAGAGGACAGGAATTAAGACCACTTTCCAGGCAAGGAAAAGGCGGAATTCTTGTGGGGTTTTATTTTAAATTTATTTAAAAACAAAAAAGGATATGTCACCATGGCCCAGTTTTAGAACCGAACTGAGCTTATATCCCGTCAACCTTTGGATCACACAGCAATTTACCCCTATTAATAAATCCATGCAGAACAAGCTTAGGCACAGACTCATTTAGGATCTGAAGAATAAAGCCAATTTCCGCTGCACAACCCAGAAGCCTCTCCCACCCATCCACCTCATTCCCCAGAACAGTTTCCCTGCACTGCTGYTCCTGCARTCTCCTGACTCCTGGTGATTTCAGRCTGGCTCCATGCTTGTTGCTTAACAGAGACAATGAAAGCAGGGCAGGGGTAGGTGGGAAAATTATTAAACTTTCCCTTGGAGTGAAGCAGAACCTCGAAGGTCTGGCTTGGCTGCAGCTCCAGCTSGTCCCTCATAGGTTTCAGGACCTTGGGCTCCAGCACAGCTGGAGACCCCTTACTGTGGTGACACCCTGTAGGTGAAACCTGGCACTGTGTCCCCAACCAACCTCCCACCGTCCACTGGGGTGTCCCTTTTGTGAGCCCACCCTGTGACACCCACCCACGGGGTCGTAGTTCTCGCTGTAAAAGTTCAGCCAGCTGTGGATGGAGAGCAGCTCTGAGGGCGACAGCCCGGACACGTCGTCCACCAGCCCCGCCGGGGTGAAGTCGCCGCTGGCAAACGCTCTGGTGGCATCTCTGCCTGCGGGGCAGGGGGTGGTGAGACCCCAGCGRGRGTGAGACCCCATCCCCAGGCATGGAGTGAATCCCCCAGCCATGGAGTGACAGCCCTGTCATGGAGTGAATCTCCCAGCCAGGGGTGTGACCCCAGGAATGGAGTGACGGCCCAGTCATGGAGTGGGCTCCCCAGGCAGGGGGGTGAGCCCCCCTCCTCCCAGCCAGGGGTGAGACCCTCAGGCATGGAGTGAATGCCCCTGTCAGGGGAAGAGCCCCCGCCCCAACCAGGGGATGACCCTCCACCCCCAGCCCCGGGGGATAGTTCCACAGCCTGTGGATGATCCCCTCCCCAGCCASGCCGTGCCAGACCGACATCCAGGCCCACATCCCACATCCCAAAGGTACCTGCGAACCCACTGTAGGCGCCGCCGGGCCCATAGTGCTTGCGGCCCCGCTCCACATCGAAGACCCGTCCCAGCAGGGCGAGRTACAGCCCGGGCTCGCCCGGAGCCCCCCGGTATCGGCGCAGCTCCGCGGGGCTGAGCAGGCGGGCGCGGGGCTCGAACCCGCGGTGAAGGAGGCAGGCGGCGGCCAAGCACAGCAGCGCCACAGCCGCGCCCCGCCACATCGCGCCGCGACACCACGGCGCTTGCACGACAGTTTCCGCGCCGCACGGCAGTGTGGCGACCAACCACGGCCAGCGCCGYGTTCGCCGGACGGCCGTCCAGAGGGCGCGCTTTACGGCAGTGTGGCAGTGGAGCACGGAAATAGAGTCGTGGAATGGTTTGGGTTGGAAGGGATTATAGAGCTCATCAGTGCCATCCGTGCCATGGACAGGGACACCTTCCACTATCCCAGGGTGCTCCAAGCCCAGTCCAGCCTGGCCTCGAGCACCTCCATGGATGGGACAGTCACAGCTTCTCCTGGCTCCCTGTGCCAGGCCTCCCCACCCTCATAGAGAAGAATTTATTCTAAATGATGTTCGTAAGGATATGCAGGGAATCACAGAATCTTTAGGCTTGTTARTGCCCTCTGAGATCACCCAGAGGAGATCCCCTGCCAAGGCAGCATCACCTGGAGCAGGTGACATAGGAAGGTCCAGGTGGGTTTGGAATTTCTCCAGAGAAGGTAGGTCCACGCCCTCCCTGGACAAGTCTGTCCCAGTGCTCTGCCACACTCATGTAAAGAAGTCTTTCCCTCATGTTGAGGTGAAATTTGTCGTGGTTTTGTTCATGGCCATTACTCTATGTGGTGTCACTGAGCACCTCTGAAGACAGTCTTACACCTATTTCTATGGATTAACGAGATCCCCTCCTTAGTCTTCTCCACACTAACCAGGGCCAGACCCCGCAGTCTCTCCTCACCAGGGAGCTGCCCCGCACCCTTCCACCCCCGTGTTCCCTGCGATGGATCCTCTCCMGCAGCTCCTTCTTTTCCATCGGGAGTCACGGGGGCGAGCCTTTGCGGCAGCGAGTACCGCTTTGCGGCGGTGTGGCGCTTTGCGGCGGTATGGCGCGGGTGTCGCTTTACGGCGGCGTGGCGGCCCCGCGCTGACAGGTGCGGCGGGCGGGAAGTTGCTGACTAAGGCGGGCCGGGCCGGGCGGGGACCGGCGGGAGCGGCGGCGGCTGCTGCTAGGGGCTCCCGAGCAGCTCATGGGGACGGCGGCGAGCCACAGCAGCGAGGAGGAGGAGGAGGGCGCCGAAGAGGGCATGGAGGGGGCGGCCGGCGCGCCCCAGCCCGGCGCGGCCGCTCCGGCGCTGCCGCCGGCCGAGGTGCTGCTGGAGCAGGCCCGGCTGCGGGAGGCCACGGCGCGGCTGCGGGAGACGGCCCTGCCCGAGCCGCTCGTGTCGCGGCACCACAGCGCGCTGGTGCGATGGCTGGAGGAGCGGCTGAGCCGCGGCGACGAGGCCGTGAGCCTGGAGCAGTTCTGCGAGGTGCTGGAGAGCGTGTCCCGGCTGGCGGCCGGGTCCCGCGGGGAGAGCGAGGAGGTGAGAGCCGGCAGGAAGCGCCGTCCGCAGGGATCAGGGAATGACTCGGGCCGGGAGGGACCTTGGAGACCATCTCGTTCCACCCCYTGCCACAGGCAGGGACACCTTCCRCTAGACCGGGTTGCTCAGAGCGCCGTCCAGCCTGGCCTTGGACACTATTAGGGACGGGTTCCCTCCAGAGATCCGCYTGTCCGGGTTAGGGGAGTGGTCGGRATCGGGGGAAGGGAGGTGGGGGARCCCCCGGGATGTTCGTAMGRGTCGGTCTCCCTGAGCCCTCGGTGTGGGCGCTGACATCGGGTACGTGGCCATCGACACGACCCTGGAGACGCCGGACACCTGTCCTGACACCTGGGGCGAGGCTGAGCCAGAGGGTTCTGCACAAGGTTGGGAAAGCAACTGCTGCTGTTGATATGCAGCCTGTCAGCTTCCAGATACCTCCTTTTTTAAAAAAAAAAAAAAAAAAAGTCAGTTATCAGAGATCATGCTCAGCAGCCACTTATGAATAAAATGGGTATTTACAGCAATACTTCTGCTGTTGCTACTCCTGGTGCAGCTGAGAGCACAGGTGTGGTGAGAACACAGGTAGGAAGTTGTGCGAGAGTGATGACTCTTGTTACTTCCTAGTGATATCAGCAAGTCAAAGTTTACCATGCTTAATTTTATTGTAGCTTTTTCAAACCAGCAGTGAAATTGTAAAGTATCTTTTTTATTGTAAAGTAGGAATTTTGGAAAACTTGCAAGAAAGTAGTGTAAAAGAGAGCCCCACCCCCCGACCCCCAGAAGGTGCTAAGGTTAYATTTTAATGGTAGAAGACATAGTTTCCTTTCTACTGGGATTTCTAGTTTTCCCCTTCTGTGGGAAAGGATATGGAGAATTTAATATCTAGAACAYTTAAGCTTTAGCTTTACTTTTTAGCAATCTAAAATGCAGTAGACTACCCTGCTGGGAATTCCACACTCAGTTGAGAAAGTGGCTGTGTYTGAATTCCTTAGTGCAAGCAGTTCCTGAGGCTCAGCAGTCACTTCCTGCTGTCTTTGTTTTGCTCCTGAGTAGCAGAATAACTGTGTAAACTGTTAAATCACACACTTGGGCCTCAAATCAGTACTGACAGGTGAACAAGGCTCCTAGAATCTGGGAGGAGATCCATTTTGCTGTACAGATAGGTGTGTTTGTACCAGACTGGTTTAAGTAGCTTGGTAAAATGCTGCCTCCCCTTCCAGTTCCTTTACAAGAAGAGCCAGTAACAAACACATCTTCATTTGTAACAACGGCAGGGGTGAAATTTGTCCATTGGGCTTCTTTCTGTTGGCACAAACAGCTGAGCTTTGTGGGCTGCAGAAATATTTTGAGGATTGTCTGTATCGCACATCCTCCTCTGCATTAAGAATCTGTTTGTTTTGGTTTCATTTTCTGCTCCAGGGAGTGGGGAAAAAGCTTGTCACAGGATTTACCGTGGTGCAGATATGTGGTCACATCTGGTCTGTCCCGCAGAGTTGAGATGTTGAGAGCTGTGTGGAAACCTTGGTGTCACCGTTTCTGTAGCTGGCACTAGCTCATGAGCTGTTGTATTTGAGATTTCCTGGGTGTATTTTACATTGATGAGAAGTCAGTTTGGSGGTGGCAGGTCAATAGTTTCACTTTTTAATATTTATAGAGTTCTGTCCCAGGTTTTGATTTGCCCTTTCAGTTCCTCTGCTCCCAGTGCAGGGCTGKGAGCACAGACTTCAGATGTTTTATGGGCAGCATTCAAATGCAAAATCTGTTTTCTAGATAAACAGAATCCTTCTTAGTACTGCTTCAGTAGYTGTCATGTCATGTATCCAGCTTTGGCTGCAACATTAATACTGCCGTTCTACTGAGAGCAGAGGGTGAAACATGAAGTTCTCCCAAGTCACCTTTCAGATATCCTGTTGTGCCCTCCAGCTCCTGAGCTGTGAAATGAGGGGCTGATTTTTACATGTGCCATATTTCCCAGCAACGCTCTCACCAATGCTTAGGGTTGAACTGTGTGGAGTTACTGCATGGATTTAGGTGTAGGATGAGCTGSGTTGTGGTAAAGCTGCTGCTGATTTTGTATTATATCGCAATCCTGCACACAGCTCAAAAACTCTGAGYAMGGATTGACACACAGATATTTTTTYCCMTTTTTTTTTCTTTCCCCCATTACACAAGACAGCAGTGGAAATTGTGTGTAATGGTTTTTTTCTGAAATACAGAGTTTATGTTATAGGGGACAGTCAAAATAATTTTAAAGTTCTAGGTTTGGTGCAATTTCCTGAGATCATACAAAGAGTTTAAAAATAAAGTAACAAAATAATGCATTATGATGTAAAGAAAAGCATATATGCAATAATCCCTCTTTACATGACAATATAAAAAATTGGTTTAAAGTAGGTGTCAGCAAATCCAGCCGTGTTGCCTTGTGTGTGTTTATTGTCACCAGTAACATCACAAAACTTGTTCACTTTGTAGTTTAGTAATTGCACAGTTTGACCTCAAATATAAGGAAGAAATGGTGAGAACAGCAGGGTGTGAAACTGTACATTGAATTGTTTTGGCAGYTGAGTTATGTCTGTTAGAATTAATTTCCTGTGGCTTGTTGTCCTCAAGCAAAGATGTTGGATTTTTTTTTTTTTTGGGATCTGTCCAGTGTCTGGGCTGGACTGGCTGTGGTGTCTGCTGCATGCTCAATACCAGCTTTGCTGCTCAGAATAAATTTTAAAGGTGATCATTATTAGCTTGGGTTGAGCTGTGTGTTTAATCAGACTTTATAAACTTTCCAAGCTAAAATTCAGCTCTGTGCCACAGAAATGCCCTCAGAGCTTTAGTCAGCTAAAACACTGCATTTCGAGTCTGTTGTCTTCTGAGGACTTTGCTCTCATTTTACTGGTATAATTATGTCATGGTTAATTGGCAAGTTATTTYGAGCTAATCATTTCAGGTTACTGCTCTCTAGGATAGCACTTTTTAATGGTACATCAAGTTTGATAATCAGGTAACAAACCAAGAGACTGAAGCAGAAGCTTCCTTCTGAGCAGCAGCAATCCCTTGACTGAGACACTTGTGAGATCATCTGTTCTTAGAGACCAAATTTACTTGSCTTGTGTGGCTGAACTTGAACTGGCAAAGTTCAGGGCTGTGAGACTCAAGTCTTGCTTGCAAAGAAATATTTTTTGTAAGTGCATTTTCAATTTCTATGAAAAAGATGGATGCTCCTGAGATATTGCATTTCTCTTTTGGAACAAGTTCCATTATTTTAGCAATTAAACAGAAGTTTGTTTCAAAATTTAATCTGATTGCAAAAATATAGCCAGATTTTTAATAGTAGTGTGTCACTGGATCATGAGTTCTCTGAAATGCCTAGTTAAAGCAAATTACATTTACAAGCTTAGTTCTGTTCCATAAGCTCAGCTGAATAAAAATACCTTGTACTTTTGTTAGTTCAAAGTTGTGAAATGCTGTGTTACTTTTTGTATGTGCTCAATACAACTTTTTATATTAAACATTTTATTAAGGTCAAAGTTAATAAAGCTGCCAGTGGTTTTCTTCAACAAAAAAAAAATCCCAAGCCTTTTCTAATTCTCTTCACTGTTTTCACAAATACTTAGACAAACTATATTAAACTGGTATTTTGTGTGGGAAGACAGTTTGTGAAAGAAAAAATCAATTGAAAAAATATTACTYCTCTTAGGACAATTTCTTAAATAAAGAAAATATTTAAACCCTGAAGGAATTTGAGTGGATGCAGTGAGAGAAAGATGCAGCAGAGATGAGTAATGGAAGGTGTGGCTTCTGGAACCAAACCACCCTTAGCTGAGGAGCTTTTTGGTGTTTTGTGAGCACCTWCCTCACAGTCCCAGCTGTCTGTGAATGGATCCTGCTGATTCACTGATGTTGATGATGGATTGTCTGCACTTAAGCATGACTCCAGTTGACTTTTATTAGGAGGGCAGTGCAAATACCTTCAAACTTGCTAAACACTGCAGATTTCCAGCCAGGCTGTTTCCTGTTAACTATGAATTCAGAATTTGGAAAATAGATGCTTTTGATTTTATTTTAATAGTGTTATAACATTTATTGCTATGGTTTTCTATGAAGTACCTTGAATTTTTGCTTGAAGGAAATATGCTGAAATAAATTTTCTATTTTTTTTACTCTTCAGGCCTTTGCACAATTTGATGCTGAAGGAGATGGCACCGTAGAAGTGGAGAATATGCTGGAGGCTCTCAAGAATTCTAGTGGAGCAAATCTTCAGGGGGAGCTGAGCCATGTAATCAGGCAGCTG